TTCAATTTAACCTTTGTTTCCAGTAGTTCCATGTCCAAAGTCATTCACTTTTGGTACTTGTTGGAGTGATAAATGATGGAAAGATCTGTAATCATGAGAAAATAAATGCATCATTTTATAAGCCTCAGTTATATATCTGTAAAGTGGGATAATACTACCTATCTCACATAGTTTATTTTATGATGAATAAATTAAATAATGTTTTTAAAGTACTAAGTATCATATCTAGCTACATAGCAGGCATGTTATTTCTTTTCTTCCTTCTATAACTGAAAAGAAAAAATTTAATATGACAGAAGATACAGATTACATTATAACAATTCAAAATATTTGATCTACTCGATGTATGAGAGACCCTTTTTCCCTAATATAGTGTAGACTATTTCTGTAGGTCACATTCTAAACTCTCCAAAATGTTGATGGAACTTCAACTGAGAGGTTGCAGATCACTTGGATATTTCCTAAGTGATGCTATGTTATTTGCCTTCTGCAATCATCCAAGAAATTTATCAGCCAGACCATTTGACCATGATGAACTCTACATCATGTGTTAAAGCCTCTGTTATGCCATGTGCTAATGCTCTAGACTACTGTATACAAAGTATCAATAATAATAAATATTTAAATAAATTAGAGAATTCATTTCTTTTTGAGATATGTCATGTAGCATATATTTTCTCTGGAAAAGTATTCTCCCTTCTCCCTCACCTTGAAATAAAGTATGAGAATCACTAGAAAATGTTGTGGAAAAAGAGAAAATGGTAGAAATGTGTACTTTTTCATTTAAAGCAGGGGTTTTCAAACTTTTTTCTGAAACACTTGTAGAGACATAATGAATAACTACACACCATTTCTACCTAGAAACATTCAAGTGTAGGTAGATATTTTTCCTTCTAAAACTTCAAGCAGCACTGAAGTTCTAGGGATATTGTTTTCTTCTTTTTCAAATTATTCCTAACATACCGCTATAAGCCTAAATGATACCCCAGTTTGAATCAATTTAAAGTATATTGTTTATCCTTAAAGATTATCACACTTATTGTATAAGAAGTCAACAGAGCCACTGTTATTGTCTTGTAAATTGTGTTTACATATTGGTAGTCTTGAAGTTAGTGTCAATGTTTGTTTGAAAGGGGGAGTAATTCATGCCTGGGTGTAGTTTTAAAATATTAAACCTCTACAGTTACTGTTATAGAATGTTTATCACCTTCCTTTAACATTATTTTCTCTCTTCACCATTATATCATGATCATGACTATGAGACTGAATCTGTTTCTTTCTTTTTTTTTTTTTTAGATACATTGACTACTTTAGATTCTATTGACCATCCTAAGCATACAGACGGATTTTTTTTTTAACACATGGTTTAGGGGTATCTTTTGTCCACCAACTGCTTGAAAATATACATTCATCAAATCCTTACTTTTGTTTATAAACATTATCACTTACCTTGAATTGTGTTGATTAAACTGTTGAGGGTATAATTTCTTACGTTTTTGTTCTCAGTCTTGTCTCAGCTCAATTGAGCTACTCTACCAATGCTTATGAAACTGATTTTTTCATATTTTCCTCTTTTATCCTCTGAACAATATTTATTATTATTATTATTTGAAACAGAGTCTCACTCTGTTGCCCAGGTTGGAGTGCAGAGGCACAATCTCTGCTCACTGCAACCTCCGCCTCCCGGGTTCAAGCGATTCTTCTGCCTCAGCCTCCCAAGTAGCTGGGATTACAGCCATGTGCCACCACACCCAGCTAATTTGTTAATTTTTAGTAGAGATGGGTTTTCTCCATGTTGGCTAGGCTGGTCTCGAATTCCTGACCTCAGGTGATTTGCCTGCCTTGGCCTCCCAGATTGCTGGGATTACAGGTGTGAGCTACCATACTCGGCCTGAACAATATTTATTCTGTTACTAATATCTTTCTGCTATTTCTCTAGCTCATTTTGGTGACAGGGATCTAATAAATCAGATGATCTAGGATTGTATCTAGGCCTAGCTTCTCATCTGGTGTTACTATTTAATACAGAATGTGATGCCCCATCACTATAAGCTTTCATTTACTTTTTAGGAATTACAGCTTTCATTTCTTTTCTCCATTATTTTGTTATTAACCCACAAACCTCTGAAGAAATTTTTACTTAGAAAATTTAGAAAATATTACCACTAAAATTCCCCTTCAAAAAATACCCAACAATGCTATTTTAAGTTTTATCAGCACATTTCACCCAACTTCTTTCTCCACTAACTTGACCATTTAATTTTCTATTTAGAAAAATAGTCTCCTCTTAATCCTGCTTATCTTGTTGCTTCTTTTGTATTCATGCTATTACTTCACCAACATAACTTATTTTTCACATCCCTCAAATAATATTGGGTCTTAGTTAAAATTATTTTCTTCCAAGAAATTGGGAATTTCTAGTTTGTGTGTTGTAAGTATAACACAATTTCTTCTTCCTCAAAGATATTATATGTCTAATCTTTAAATGTGATCGTAAACGAAAGATCTTATGAGGTTTCAGGATTCTTCTCTCTATTGTAATGCTAAAACTCAAATTTCAAGCAAATAGATAATGGATTTAGTTGAATAATTTTCACATTCCATATATATTTTAAAACACTCAACAAACCCTAAAGACTTTCAGAAAATGCTTTAAGCAAATGAAATATATGGAACTTAAAACTTATAATGGGTAGGAAACAGCAATTTATTTCATGGAACATACAACTTCCAATTTAAGATTTTTATGCTGAGATATATAATATATAAGCCAATGGTTGCAAAGTGTGACAGTGTGCATATCTTGTTGATTAAATGAGACACGCGTATGAAAGTGCCTATCACAGCACTTGTCACAGTGAACTTCCAATAAAGATTTAGAGTTGTTTGCTGTAGATTTATAAACCATAAAATAAAACGGGGCACAAAAATGTGAATACTATGCAGAGCTAGAAGACAACCAGGCATTGGAGAAGTTCAAGCATTTTCAGGAAAACAGGATGTTTCTGCAATGTATGCAGAAATTCATAAAATGCAATGTAGCCATTCCTGGTGTTTTAGGGTTTTTCTGCTTAGTGTCATACTACTCTGAACATATGAATGCTCCCTTTCTTGCTAAAAGTAGCTGCCACTTTCTCTCTTAGTCTTTTCCCCCTAATGGAAGTGTAGCTTCTGATTTCTTTCTAGAATCTAACAGGACATTTTATTCACTATATAGAATTTATTTGGCTAGAAAGTATATTTTCCTCAAAGTGAGTTATAAACCTTCAAACCAAACAAACAAAAGACACAAAGTACATAATGCGAAATTTATATTTAGTTCCTGATAGTAGCTTTTAGAAAATTGAAATGACAATTTAATTTTTATGAATCTATCACTTAAAGCATGACCTCATATGACTTCTCCTGTGATAAGAAAATGCTCATGTATTACTGTACCAATCTTCTATATGTGCCGTGACACAGTTATACTTCTTAGTTAAGAGTGCCATTTTTCTTTTTTTCTCTTTTTTTAACTTTTATTTTAGGTTTAGGGTACATGCTCAGGTTTGTTATATAGGTATGTTGCGTGTCACATGGGCTTGTCGTACAGCTTATTTCATCACCCAATGAATAGGCATAGTACGTGATAGGCAATTTTTAAATTCTCTCCCTTCTCCCATCCTCCACTCTCAAATAGGCCCCAGTGTCTATTGTTTCCTTCTTTGTGTCCACATATTCTTGTTGTTTAGCTTCTACTTGTAAGTGAGAACATGTGGTATTTGCTTTTCAGTTCCTGTATTATTTTGCTTAAGATAATGGCCTCCAGCTTTGTCCATGTTGCTGCAAAGGACATGATCTCTTTCTTTTTATGGCTTCATAGTAATTTGTGTTGTTTATATATACCACATTTTCTTTATCCAATATGCCATTGATGAGTGTTTAGGTTTATTATATGTCTGTACTATTATGAATGGAGGAGCATCATCTTTCTACTATCTCTTTTTATCCTATCCTGATCTTCTTTTTCACCTAAAAAGTTAGAGATTTATAGGAAGGGTCGGGGATGTGAAGAGGGAAAAAGATGAGCAGGTGTCCATTGTGCTGATTGGCTGAGATTTGTACCTGAATTTAACATGTGTGAGGCTTGGAGTAGTGGGCAGGTAGGAAAGGGATGCTATACAGCTACCACCTACATATTTGGGTATGGGAAACATGGGAAAGTGACAATATGCAGCAATAAATGACTCATCTATCTTGCTTATCATTTTATTTCTCTTTTATCAAGTAGATGGGAGAAAATAATGCTTTTTAAAAAATATTTCTTCCCCAGATAATTGAAATTGTAAAAGTTTGAGTTACTATGTAATTTTCTACTGTATATACTGTATAGTATCTTGTTATTTTAGTAAGCATATCTGTTTTATTTTCTATGTCTCCCTGAGGAAGTCTCATAAAATGTAGGAAATGATAGCCATTCAATTGATAAGTTAAAACCTACCATACTGCATATTAACTTATCAGACGGATAACCGTCATTTCCCACATTTTATGGCTCTTCCCTGGGAAATATATGAGATATAAAGTAAAGATATTTGCTAAAACGTACCTAAAGTAGCCAATGGTAAAAACTAAACCCTCTACTCTTATAACTTAGCATCATGACTAGAAAAATTATTTGATGTGGTAATGCACATAAGAAAACATTTCAATTACAAATTATTTTATTCTTATAATCCAACAGCCTTTCTCAGTAAAATAACATGTTATTTTGTGGGGTTTGATGTTTTGTAGTACGTCATAATCTGGAGTCTATTTTACTGCCTTGGAAGTCCCAGGCAGACATAATTTTCATTGCTATGTTGTGCATTTAACAAAAGCTATTATAACAGCAATGTATGGTCAGGTACTTTTTAAAAGGCAGTGTAGAGTAATAATAAAAATTTCATAGCTAATCGCCATCATTTTACAATGACATATATTGCTCTGAATATTCTCTTTTACCCTCTTGTTATTTGTAGGAATTGATGAGTGCCACCAGAAAGTCGTATCATGAACTGCCTGTGCTTCTAAAGTGTCCGGTGGATTTTTAATCACACAAGGTAAATGCCAAATTCATTTTAATTGTATTTTCAGGACGAAATTAAATAGAATTTTTTGTTTTAAAACTTATTTTTATTATACCAAGGAAGTAGATAATTTTATTTCATCATATATTTAATTAGTTCCTCTAATTTGTGTGCCCCAGAATGACTGAGGGAAGTTATTGGCATGTTGACAATCCACTACTAAGCTTATAAATTTTCTCTGTAAAGCTATTATATATGCGATGATATGTTTCTGACAGTCTGTATGCTGTTTGTGTTTGCTTAATGTCATTTTTATTCATTAAAACATCATTTTAGCATGTGCTAATATACATTTGAAAGTGCAGCAACTGAAGATATTTCTTTATTAATACAACAAAAGTAGTGATATAAGAGGTATACAAATTTAAATTTACATAGGAGGGACTGTACATTTTAAATGGAAGCTGAGGGTTCCTTTTCTTTTTATTTCCCCCACTAGTTCTAATGGCCTTATGGTGGCTTGTGTATGTGTGCCGGGGGTGACTTTCTTTGCTTGGAATGTCTTGTTAGTTTCTTTATCTTTGCTTTCTCTCCTAGTGACCACGTTCCAAGCACCACAATAGCTATTTTTGGTTTTGTATTTTCATATTTCTTCCAGTTGTTGTAGAGTAGATTGTGACATTTACAACTCATGTTATCTTTTCACCATCTGAAATTACAGAGACAAAAAAATAAAAAAGAAAGAAAAAAGAAACTCAGGGGTACCCAGGAAGATTAAGCTTTGCTAATACCTGTTTAAAAATGTCTTATTTAATTCAACTAAAGAAGGTGTATGGAACTGCATCTCTTGTACCCTCATGAAGACTGAGACATGAGCAGTAATATGAAATTTTCTTCTGAAAAAAAAATAAATTTTCTAAAAAGGGAATATACTTGCTTCCTGCCAAGTTCACTTGTCTCAAACAATAATAGCCAGGAAGCAGAGAGTTGTACATAAGTGATTTACCCAGGTATAAATGGTATATATACACATAGATTCACAAATACATGTACACATCAGTCTAGGATAGAAGCTTGGGGTTCAAAGGAAACTGGCATTCTTCATATGCAGAAATATAGATTGAAAAGTAAAAAATAAAGATATTTCAGGAGTAATTAGGGGAAATTAAACAGGTACAAAATACACAATATTGATCAATTTTTTAAAAAATTAAAGGCATCATTGATAAAATTTAAATTATGAACTGCACACTGAGGCATATGGCTTATAATTTACAAGAGTCTCCATTTTGTGAACTTGGATGACATAATAAGGAAAAAATTGACAGTCTTGTGAAAAGAAATAGGGGAAACTGCTAATTTGCACAGCATGAAACTGCCTGTCATTTATAGGGCTCTTCCAATCAAAAAGAACATTGAATGACACTTAAAATATGATAAATTTGAAATGATTTGGAGACACAGTGAAATGTAATTGCCTTTTTTAATATATCTGAGAATACTCTTTCATAGTTCCTTTAGTCAGCTTAAGTAATCGTGGTAAGTTTAAACCTTTTTTTCCTGCTTGAATTTATGTGACAATCTATCATATATCTCTGATTGTGAATCCAGTGGACACTAGCTGTTTTCGGTTGTACTTTCATAGCACATAGTTCGGAGGTCTTTTATCAGCTAAAAACGAAACACAGATTATTAATCCTTGAAATTATTAGAAGTTATTTTAAAAATTAATATTTCATTTCATTTTGATGGGGTTTTTAAAAAGTAAAATCCATATGCAAATTTTCCTTTACTGAGAAATTTATTTTAACCAGGGATTAAGGGATGTAACGTGGGAAGAGTGAGAGGATAGGTCAGTAACCTCCAGGTTCTTGTAATCATTAAGCTCATTTTCACTTCCATTTTCAGCTTATTCACCCCACAGCACTGGCTCCTTTTCTTTTGCCTATAGACAAGATTTAATTTAAAATAAGAAAAGGAGGTTTTACCTTCCCTTTACCACCACTCCACCATGGGTACTGAATTATTTACCTATTATTTTATTGCTAATCTCCAGGAAAAATAAAGGTCTTCATTTCCTCAAAATCTTTGGTAGAGTTTTAAAGCTTTTCTCAATTCTAAAGACGTCCAGAATATTAGAAAAAAAAATCCATGATATTAGTTAAGAGATAGAAAAATTATGAATACAGCAGAGACATTTTATGTTGTGCAAAGAGTTACAGGTTCACATTTACAACTTGTTCAATATGCTTATGTTGTCCTCTACATTCCAATTGCATGTGTGATGACCAACAGGCAACTGGAATGTAGAGGACAACACAGGCATATTGAAGAAGTTGTAAAATAGGTCAGCAGTGTGTATAGAAGAACATGCCCAAAACCTTTAGCTCAATTCACAGTTGAAGAAGAACATTGATAAACCCAGTTATCACCCAGGCTGGAGTGCAGTGGCACAATCTCGGTTAACTGCAACCTCTGCCTCATGGGTTCAAGCAATTTTCATGCCTCTGCCTCCTGAGTAGCTGGGACTACAGGCATGCACTAGCACACCCAGCTAATTTTTAAATTTTTAGTGGAGATGGGGTTCACCATGTTGGCCAGACTGGTCTCGAACTCCTGACCTCAAATGATCCACTTGCCTCAGTCTCCCAAATTCCTGGGATTACAGACGTGAGCCACTGTGCCCGGCAGGAATTTGAAGTTTTGAGAGGATGAGGTATGACTTGTTTGGAGAAAGTAAGACTTGAAAGTGTAGGAGATGATGACAACTCTGCAAATGTTTTAAATGATGTCAGGTGAAAGGGAGATTAGATTTTATAGCTGTATCTCTAAGGGAGGCCATGAGACATTCAGATGAAATGTGACCCAATATGAGAAAGGTTTTAAAGATAGTATAACATGTGTTTAGTTAAAGTGAGAAATAACTGTGAAAATTACAATTTCTGTATGCATAGAATGGGCTGTTGCATAAAGAATTGAGAACTGACTCTAGAGCTAATAGTTGGTGTGTTTGGCCAGCCAAGTGCTTCTCACAGGGTATTCGTTTGTCAACCAGTGTTTGAAGAAATAACACTTCACATCTCTTTTATTGTTCTATAGGCACTCAGTGATCTTTTATGTGAAGAAATAGCCTTTATGTACAGTTTATTTAATACTAAATGATAGTTTTTAAGCTGTAAGTTTTCTTAATTTAAAGTGATATTAATATAAAAAATACTCATTTAGGAAAAAAATGCTAGAATTGTTGTATTTTAGTTCTGTCACTAGGATATGAGCCTGAAGTCAACTACTTACTGTGCTTCAAAATATATTAGTTTTATCTACCTGAGAAAAACTGACGAAAGTAAGGCAAAATATTTCAGTGGTAAAATCCCATGTCCAGATTCAGTATTCCTGGGTCTCTACTTTCTGGATATGTCACGTTTGCAATTTATATGAGGTCTCTAAGGCTTAGTTTACTAGTCTGTGAAAAAAAGCATAAGAAAAGCACTGTTCACCATATGATGTCATTGGGGCTAATAGAATAACCAAGAATGGTAGGAAAGAGTGATTTAAAATTAACTATTACATAATGCATGCTTTGCCATTTAACTGACCTTGCATTAGAGCCTAACAGTCAACTAGGAGTACATTTTAGAGCCATTTTAAAGCATGGATTAATGCCAAGTATTTTATGGGTATTTAACTTATTATTTTCTAATGACTTAGGGTTCTAGATTGGATAAGGTGTTGGCCATAAATCAGACTTCTTTTCGTGTATGGGATAAAACCAGAGTTATTTTCAAAGGAAAGTCTTGACATTGGTTGTATATATTTCCATTTGTATGTCTCCACAGAAGTATAGTAGTAGTGTGTTGAGGTATATATTCTGGTTAGGCATATCAGCTTCTAAGAAGCTACCAAAATTATGCATGTTTTCAAACTCATGAATACAGTCTGAAAAAATAACACCAAATGTATATAGTCTGGTACTCATCATAAAATGTATACACCATAACTTCTACCAGCCAATATTGATCAGAAATGTAGGTGTCAGAAATAATATTGAGGAGTGGTTGCCTGAATAACATGAATTCTTTTCATTCATCTACATAGCTGAAATTTTACCAGTGGATTAAACAAGGCTATTAAAATCTTTATATTTTCTCCATAGAAATGCTTTCACTGAACCAAAACTCGAATCAATGCCATCAACTTACACTGATTTGTATTATAGATGCTAGAAGCTCATGCTTGTGTTTAGTAATATTATTCATGGTATAATTCATGATGTTTTTCTTCAACCTTTATAAACTTTCTCCATTAAGGAGACCATGACACATAATTTCCTTTGGTCTCACCACTCCAAACAGCAAGGTTTCTTATGGCAACTCATTTATTTTTAACTTATGATTCTAATGGATCATGTAATAGATTTATTTGCATGTGTGTGTAGAATACTAGGAATTTCAGAACTAAATCTGTTGCACATATTTGGCGTGTAAACAGAATCTAATTGGATACATGGTTGTGAAGCATAGCTGCTCTGAGTTTGTGGTCTAGGTTTGGGTCCCATATCTTTTATTTAGATCTAGAATAGATTGGGTCAGGTTGCCGCTGCATTTTTTCTCCAGTGTTTATTTTAGGGCACTGTTCTGAAGATTAACACTTATGATAAATGTCAGCTATTGTCAATATTAAAATAAGTCCCTGAGAAGCATCTCTTTTTCCACCACCTTTCTTGGCCTACTAAAACACATTTCATGTACGTATTTATTTGCTAAATCTTTATTGAGTACCTGTTATGTTCACTTATAACTCATATATATATATATATAGAGAGAGAGAGAGAGAAAGAGAGAGTTTATTTATAACTCATACACACACACACACACACACACACACACGTAAATAATACAAATGAGATCCTTGTTTTCATAGACCTTATGTTCTAGATGGGTAGTTTTGGTATGGAGTCCATTAATAACAGAAATATGTGAAAGAAAATATTCAGTAATAAGTGTTAAGTTAAAAGTAAAGCAAGGTGAGAGCTT